GAACCATTTTCCAACTTATTTAAGTAATTTTGCCACATTAGATTATGACGAGACACCGGATTATTAACTTGGGAAATGTGATAATCGTAATCTGACTAGGGCTGGGCATTTTCGAATACCTGATGATTTCAGAATCGAATCGAATAATTTTTTCGAATCGAATCTCGAATACTTGGAAGGTATGATAATGTATGTAACTTTCTTATCATTTTAGGTCCTCCAGACACATAAATTACTGAAAACATAAAATACATCACTGACAATAAAAAAAAAGTTTTCATCAATACCTCAATGCAGAAAAGAGTCATATGTCAGAATTGTGTTGGAAAAATATGTTTTCAATGAAAAAAAAATTGAGAAATTTACCTCGACCATTGGCGAAAAGTGTAAAACAAGATGGCGGCGATTCGAAAATTTGCTCTTAACCGATTCGAATAATTTACTATTCGATTCGATTCGAAATGCCCAGCCCTAAATCTGACGGATGCTCCATGTCAGAGCAATAAAGTTCTTCATATCCGACATTGGAACATACAAAATCTCTATAAGCATCTGCGTGTTCAAGCATATATTTTGATAGTTCACGTCGTATTTCGACTGGGGTTTGCAGCGATATGCCAAGACGTACTAACATTTTTTACTTTCATTCCCTGCGTTTGCGATGTGTTCCATAAATTGCAAATCAAAACGCCACCCGTACATGTCCGCGAATACGGAACATTTATTTTTATGTTTACTTTCTTGTAAGCAGTTTTATTGAGTTTCACTACACTAACTTTGTACTGTAAACGGTGGCATGAAGTGCAGGGAAATCTGCGCTACTGGAAATATGGTGATGAAATTTCTGGATATAAGTAAAGTGTGTGTTATTTTCTCCATGTTGACGAACATCCGTGGCGCGTTTTTTTATTCGATTTAGACGAGCCTTTTTTTCCTGTATAGTTTCCTTCGTTCGGACCTCGGCTGTCCGTTTTTTGTCTTGTTTGAGACGGCCAGATTTTTCCGGAACCGTTTCGCGCGCACGAACCTCGGCTGGCCGTTTTTTTGTTTTGCTGGAGACGGCCAGATTTTTCCGGAGCCGTTTCGCGCGCACGAACCTCGGCTGTCCGTTTTTTGTCTTGTTGGCGGCGGACAGATCTTTCCGGAGCCGTTTCGCGCGCACGAACCTCGGCCGTCCGTTTTTTGTCTTGTTGGAGACGGCCAGATTTTTCCGGAGCCGTTTCGCGCGCACGAACCTCGGCCGTCCGTTTTTTGTATTGTTTGAGACGGCCAAATTTTCCCGGAGCCGTTTCGCGCGCACGAACCTCGGCTGTCCGTTTTTTGTCTTGTTTGAGACGGCCAAATTTTTCCGGAGCCGTTTCGCGCGCACGAACCTCGGCTGTCCGTTTTTTGTCTTGTTTGAGACGGCCAGATTTTTCTGGAGCCGTTTCGCGCGCACGAACCTCGGCTGTCCGTTTTTTGTCTTGTTCTCGACGATATATTTTTTTCTGTGTGGTCTCCCATTTTCGCACCTCCGCCATATGTTTTTTAGCATTATCAAGTCGACATAAGGTCCCCATCTCAGTTTCATTTAGGTGTTTTTGCCGTGATTTGTTTACAATACCAGATAGCATTTCTCCGGAAACCAGTGATATCGTGTCACCATTGCGAGCACCCGCAAGCCACTGTGACAGAGAACATTCCGAAACAGCACTATCACCATCCTTGTCATTAAAAGATGTGAAACGATCGTTTTGATCAGTTTTCAGCCAATAGCCAATTTACCACCGAAAATGGCTAACGCCAACTATCCTATATTTTGTGTCAATACAACGGCGCTAACCGCAGTTGCGACGGCTATTCAACCACAGTCTAGCGATATTTTGGTGAAGAATTAGATTTGGTTTCAGCCAATAGCCTATTTGCCACCGAAAAGGGCGAACGTCGACTATCCTATTGCTCTATAGTTTGTGACAAATGCAAAGATAGTATACGACGGATGGTTCCGATTGTATCCGAATTGGCTATATACAACGATTCAAGATCAGTGATGTCGAAGCGGCGTGTAACCAGGGTTGCCAGACCCCAGCGATCAAAAAAAGCCAAATCAAGACATAAAAAAGCCAACAATTTTACTAAGTACAAAAGCCCCATGATTTGTCAGATTTTAAGCCCTTGTCAACGTACTGATGATGATGTAGAGCCATCAGTTCATTCAGTGAGGCACACAAATAGAAAGTAAAGTTCCTATAGAACTGTAGAAAGTAAAATAAATATCAAGCGGATAGCATCATTTTACCATTCAATATATACAATACATACAGGGTGCCGCCTCAGTCTGTCAGTACGTAATATATCTACATGTTTCTACTTGAACTTGTGATATACCTTAAAAAATTCTCCCCATATCAGTGTATCGTGCTTTACTATTGAAAAATTTTCCACTTTTAAAATTTATAAACCATCAATTTTATTAAAAAATTATCTTACCCCCTGTCGCTCACAGGTCTGCAGGTGGACCACTGATATCTAATTCAGTAATTTTAGCGTAGTTAATCACATCGTTACTGCAATTGCAGAATTAAACTAAAGCTCACATAAACCATATCAGGCATAATGAAAATTAAGTTATACAACTATTTTTTGGAAACAGAACGTGAAACTGACAAATAGGCAAAACTATAAAAACGAGACAATGTTTACAACCCTGCTTGAACATCTGTCTGAGCAGCTGCAGAAACTGCAATTATTTCTAATTGGGTAGGCCTATGGTTAAGAGTTAATGTAACAAACAAGGAAATCGATGCTCCAGGAAATCCTAATGCAGTAATGTTAAGTAGCTAAGTACAGGTAATACGCTAATGTTCAGTTGTTACACACTAAATATTGTATTTCATATGATTTTAATAATAGACACTAGAATAGACTTGAAAAAAGCCAAACGGAAATTCTGACGCCAAACGCGTTTGAAAAAAGCCAAAAATGGCAAATTTGGCGCTAAAAAAGCCAATATGGCAACTCTGCGTGTAACTAAAATACCTAAACGCTCAACATCGCAAACAGAACAGTGTTACGCACACACACACACACAATCGTACGAAAAGGGGGATCCCCCAAAACAGAAACTGCGGTTTCGATCGCATCGCTTCTCTCTGAACCTCTAGCAACAACGCGTGTCCCATCACTAATTAATTAATAACTCGCTAATTATACGACATAATTTGCCCAAAATCAATAGGCTTCTGGTCCGAGATATGATAAATGGACATGCAAAATCTGGAGCGAATTCAATCTCGATTTCGTGAGATATCGCGTGCATCTAACAGACAGACAGACATACAGACAAATACCTATCAACATACTTACCGATTAAAATCGATGAGTAACGATTAAAATCGATAAGTAATAATAAAGTGGCATCCAGGCAGCAGAATGTGATTTCTGGATCAGCTATGTGGTGATACTTGGGTGGAACGTTACGTGAAGGCTTGTTTTGTTTAATATTTTTTAAATATATTTTAACGTGAACGAGAACGTGCTGTGATTTGTGTGTAAACAAAAGAATGAGCCAGTGATGGTGCATATAGGGACGGACACAAAATTATATTCAGCGACAAACAAAGGCGACATCAACGCAAAGAGGAAAGGCGAGATAAAAATAGAAGAAATAGTTGCTGCTGTAAGAAAACAATAAGACTGACCGACTTGTGTAACGATGGGAAGTTGGAAATGCCTATTGCTCAACGCTTGGGGAAATATAGACACCCTCACAGTTGTAAAAGTCCTCGGAGCACCAGATGCAACATCAATACCAACAGGACAGTTGTGAACAATTAAGACTATCGCACTATGCTGGTTTGGTTATGCTAGGAATAATACAAGCCCTGGGAAGCATACAATAAGTGGTACACTCCTCGGCGTGCTAAACCGACGAAAGGCAAGCGATGTTAACCAAACCTGACTTGGCTACAACATGCCAACAAAAGTTTAATTCAACCTGAACGATACACGGTTTTGTGTTTAATAACAAAGATACTGGCACTCCATGGCAGCACAAGCATTGTGTTAATAGGAGGCAGGAGTTTGCCAAACTTAATTGTAAACATGACCGCAAAACTAGCGCTTGGCGCGCGGAGTCAAGCTGAGAATGAAAATTGTGTTATGGCAATCAAGAGCTCAGAGTATTGGAAAATGCCACCGTCGAGAGTAACAGCAAAACGGTCGTCCTCCGTGCCAGCAAAATTCGACACTTTCTGATAACTTAATGCTCAACTTCACGAGGACGACTAAGAACATATGCTCTTATTAGAGAAGGAAGAGAAACCCCAACGGATATTTCTCCTACCTGGGAAAATGTTTCCTATGGTTTACCATTGCAAAACTTGTAAAGTGCATTAAAGTTTTGCTAGTTGGTTTACTTGTTGCATAACCATCATAACCTGCTATTTCAAATAAACTGATAATTAAATTTAATCAGTATAGACCAGCTGTTTGCGACTGATTTTAGATTACTGCAACTAAACACTTGTACAGGATAATGTCATTGAGATATTCGATTTCTATATAAAATTTGGTAACACAACTAAAAATTCACAAATAGCTATAGCAAACTAACGAAAACGAGTGGACATTTGGATAATGTGTTTAAATTTGTTTGAGTGAAAAAATTTCCAAGCGCCCACTTATTTTCCAATTGTAACGCCATCTTTGACTTCTTGCTTGGCCAATGTTTTGTAATAAATAAACAATGAAGCCGATGTTCCGGGAAACACTCATGAAACAAGTGACCTAATATTACCTTTCGTGCAGGTGACGCATGGTAGAAATAAATAGTCGATTGAGCTTGTCTTGGTAATGCAGCTCGATTATTTATATGCAACAGCCAAAACAATAATGCATCAATCAATTTATTATGAATATTAAGAGTTAAGAAAACCGAATATGCCCTTACCGCCAATAAAGTGAGCTGTACGCTGTGAATTGCGGTGACAGCACTTTTTTAGGACAATAATCAAAATTACCTGTTTTTGGTGAGTGGGTGTCTGGTGGTTCCAATCTAATCGGGTTTTCCCAACTGTTCCAAAGACATACTGATGTCTTTAAATTGCAAACTGCAAAACATTACAAGTTATAATTAGATATGATTGAACTTTGTATATTGTACTGTAGTGTAGAAGGTTAATAAATATGATAAGCTTGTTCTTTACGTTTATATTTCAAAAGATAATAAATATTTTGTCACTTAGTCAAGTAGTAGTAATTTTCAAAATTCCCTAATTTTTTTCAAAATATTTTTAATCTTTTCATTCAATAAAATTAGATGGATCTACGCCATTTTTATTAACTCAGTTTGTGATATTTTAAATCCTACCTTATAGCTTGTTTTATTGACGGATATAATACCGTAACTTTCATTGCATCCTAGCCAGAATAAAAACCGTTCGGAAGATCACAGTGAACACTGCGTTGATCCTTTTTTGTTTCTCCAGATATAAAAATGTAAACGATAAAATATTTACCTATGAAAAGTATTGAAATCCATTGATAAGCAGTTGATAGCTTCACCATGTCAATACCTATTTATCAAGAGTATATTTACGTATCCAATGCAGATTTTTTGGTTTCTTGTGTTTCTAAATATTATTCTCTGTATTATTGCATTTTAAAATTTTGATTAATTCTGTAGAGTTTGATTCTGTAGAGTTCTGAGATATTTCCACTGATATTGTTCAAAATATAAATAATAACCAAGTTACGTTAAATTGCTAGGTTACTACATTTTAATGGATGCATGTACGAAACTGCAGCATTGTTGCAGAGAGTTATTAATATAATTACGATAAGAAAAATAGTTTTTGCCTCACTAAAACCTCATGTCCTCTATTTCATATCCCACTGAATCTACTCCATTTTAAACCGCATTATATTATAACAACAGAACGATGAAAAAGTAAAACGATGTACACTCATCTTTTGTAAAAAGTTATGAAAATATTAGAAATATTTATCGTAATTTTACTGTCATCAAACAGTGAACAATGAACGGAATATGTGGCCCCGTATATGAAACATGCATGATTCACTAAAATAACTTCTTTTTAACTCTTTAAATTACTGCTTATTTCCAATAAACTCTGTCTTCGGTTTTGTAAGTCTTATTGATATGACACATTTTGTTGTTTTTATATGTTAAAATTTGATACCAAAAGTCATACACGAACCAGATATATTATGACCCTGGGAATTTGTATCGTCCATACTACCAACCTAACACAGGCATGTTTCATTCGTCGACGAATGCCCATAAGCAAAAGTGTTTGACATCATTTCATCACGGAAAACGATGATTTCATCAATATTGCAAATGTACGTGTGTATCTCGTATTTTTTATACCGACTGTGGGAATCACAGTAGAACAATGTCACCCGTAAGTGATTTCACTAGCTTATGTAATGTGTTCATGTACTTACAAAATACTGGCTTTTTAATATAGTAATGTGGCGCAGAATGGATAGTCGTTCTGAACTTTCAACCTTTATTTCTTTTAAAATATAATATTCGTAATCAAATTCGGCAATATATATATCATTAATATTTACATCTATAAATTAAACTTTATCGTTTCAAAATCCATGGCTTGCGAGCTATTGTATTTTGATCATAACGGTTTAATCATAATAATATATAGTCGCATTTAATCATAATTCTTTTTAAATATCGAATGCTTACAATACATTTAGTCGCTGCTCCATTTACAATGTAAAGTAACTGCTGTTAACTGACCCGTTTGTAAATTTCCAATAAATGCGTATTGCAAGGATTCCAATGGTAAATATATCGTATTTGGGATTTGTTCACTGAGATGCAAAGGAAAATTCCCACTTTTGCAGCACTTTTAAGCTCGAACCATAACGCCACCCCCAATGCACCGGGGAGTAATTTTTAGGAACGTTATTGTGGTCGATTACCTTTGAACCTGAAACCTGGAATTTGCAAATATTGCAATTGTCATGATGTAAGAATCGTAGGGTTCCAGGTTTACATTCAATAAGTTGCTCATTTAAGTATTTTGGTCAGAAAGTATTTATTTGTTAGTCCACATTCTAGTATTGGAAACAGTTAACTCTTGCCTCATATACTGCTGTTCGCGTTCAGTGAAAACTACCAGTGGCTGATTTAAAATATTATGTCAACTAAATTCGGAATTTTATTAAGCTATATCTACAATATGTATATATATATATATATAAAAGACCAGTGTGATGATGCCAATAAGTGAGAAGTGCAAAACCTATTTAGCAATGGAATTTTCTCAATAGCATGTTGTTATTAAACAAGTTTTTTTTTTTTTGCGCCAGTTTTGTCATCGTTCTGAATATATGGTATTTTGCTTCAAATAAGAATATGACGACTCGCGCAAAAAACATAGCTTACTGTTTGATAATACACAAACAGCAACGACAAGATATATGCATAAACCAACCGATTTCGCAGTTACGAAATGCCCGACTATGTTCCATAGATCGAAAAATGCTGCCGAGCGGATAAATAATGGACAATACAACCTCAAATTGTCTTATATTGTTTGTCAGAGAAATTAAGGATATTTCAATAAAAAAATGAAGAATCAAAAATAATATTATTTAAGAAGACCCCAAGTTGGCAAATTTTTGGGGCATAAAAACCTTGAAAAAAAATTGGGGAAGTGCGTTTGGTGGAATTTGTGACAAACATAGTGTAATCTAATCCCAACGACGTTCAACAACTCTTTTCCTCAGAGGAACTTGACATGACCAAATACATCGCAACAAAATCTGGTCTATATCTCATATACTAAAACCCTCTATCAATCTATCCTCTTTCCCGCTACTTTTAATTTTTCCGTGACCTTTTGCTGCAACACGTCAAGTCAACGAGAAACAAATGAGCAATGCTCAAATTTATGAACACTAATATCAAATGACTAACCGCGTTACATCAGTAGTGTGTGTGTCCTACGCACTAGTTCATTTCGGCAATTGGAATTGTCGGTAAATTATTCGGATAGTATCTCTCTTGCAGAAGTTAAACTGCACTCACACTAGTCAAGTGAACGCAAAGTTCCTTAAAAAGATTGTAGGCTTCTGGGGTGGGTCTAGAAATCAATGCTTTATGATACCGATGCAATAGCTAAATTGCATTTCACTAAATTTAAACTAAGCTGGATGCTCCTAATGCAAACAAATACATGTAGTCAATATAAATGGGAATGTAATATAAAAAATAACACTGGAGAAGTTTATCTTTTATGATTTCAAAAACAAAAAATGATTTTCCATCGTATACGATCAAAAGTCCTTAAACAGTAGATTCAGACCTCTCCGCAGGAACAGTTTGGTGTAGAGAAGACTATATGGTTATCGGAATCGGCCATCTGAATGGTTTTCCTTGTAGAGAGCATATTATGGGCTGCCATTTCACAGCAGATTTGATATCAAGAGAAACTACCCAATATGTGTACTGGTACAATGCTGTTTATCACAATCCATTAAATGTTCCAATGACTTTTCGTATTCTTGAGCCCAGTCTGGATTCCGTTTTAGATTCTTCGCTACATAAATACTGTCCAAAAAGCTTTTAGCGCAAGCTAAACAAAACGACTTCGGCGTTGAAGGGACGCTTGTTGACCGTGAAACGCAGCTCTGAAAAAAAACGCTCGATTATTCGTTTCATTATACAAATGTAAAAGGATTTGAAACGAGTGTAATCTTTTCGAAGCTTTAAAGTCTTACTAAACTTTTTGGTAACACGCTTGCATGACAGACGAATGCATAAATATTCGTCTCAGCAAATTGACTAATCAAAGTGCGTATAGACAATTTAATGAACAACTGTTGAATACCAGAAAACTTTGATTTCCAATCGGAATAACCTAATGTGCAATCGACAGTATATCTGGAGAATTTGAATAACTGCATATGGACACTTTCGCAACAATTTTGCGATAAGCCATCCAAATTATATAGTCAAATATGTGTAGTGTTTCGTAGCTTTGACTGCGTCGCTACGTCAACGTGACGTTGCCAACAACGTATTTTACATACCGTAAATTACGCAATTGCAACAGAGCGTATCGATATTCGCAAACATGTAAAGTCGACATTTTATTATTCAAATGGGTATGTAATTTAGTTAATTAACCCCATACTGCGCATTCGAGACCTATGGCTTTGAAATCAATACCCAAAACAAGCCCCATAAATTTGTTGCAGCACGTGCAAGATAAGAACCAGGTCGTGCTCTATTGACTGATAACAGAACACGTTCTCATGTTGCGTGAACTGGCAGGATAGCTACTCTCGTTCAAACTTTGTTCCGTGAAGGATAAAGATTGCCGACGCTCATTTGAATAAAATCTTGGATCATATGATGTAGGCTGGTACATACGGTAAGGGCACGAGCGAAGTGGTGCCAACCTAACTCAAGTTATAGTCGTCACAAATTCAAGTTTATCTTCACTAGGCGACTTACTTCCGGCTGAAAACGTGATCAAAAGCTGTTCCGTAATTGTTATCATACGCACTTTGCCTCGCAATATGTCTCGACTGTGCGAAACAACATCTTCGCGACGCTAGTCATTTATTTCCATTTGCGTAATACATAGTCATAAATGACTTACAAGCAGACAAAAAAATAGTTGAAATAAATTTCGCTATTTCCAAAATTTTATATTTCAAAAGGTAACATTTTATGCGGATACAGAACAAATTGTGCCTTCAATACGCTACCCGTTATTGTAAAAAGGTATAGACGTTCGAATACCCAATATTTATAATTATTTCATTTCCCTATAGATACGGCGACGAGAACCTACTATTTAAGAGACAGCATTCCTTCACACGAATCGAAGCTAATAAAAATAACTTTATCAACGAATTCTGAAATTTATATTGGAATTTCAATAAGAAAAAATGACATTTCACGCTCTAGTCTAGTAGTCTCCACGTGACGCTATCTACCTTAACAATTATTTGTTAATTCCACCTCATATTTTTGCGCGTGGGTTCGTATTGCAATGACTGAGGACTATTACAACCAAAAATCACATGAAATTTTTCGTCAATTCATGATTACATACCTGCGCGTCCCTCTTTTCCTCTTCAAAGGATATTGTAATACGTTTAAGTCTGTTTAAATAAATATCTCGTTGTCGTCGATCTTCAGTTATGATGCATCTAACAAATCCTCTGAGTCGTATTAAAATTGAGTTACCTATACGAATTGAAAGAAAAGATAATCGTTATTTATTCAGACTGAAAAATCTCTCTTCACGAAATGATCTAATGTTTTAACATACCTATTTCCAGCATATTCAAAAACACGCTTTCTCTGGAATTCGGTGATAATTTTATAGGAACCTGTAAAATCAAATAAATAATAATTCCCTCAAAAAAAATGTATGTGTTTCACGTGTTTTTTGTTCAAATTTCAAATGTAGTTGAAATTCGGTGGGATGATACAGCTTAATCTATCGTAACTTACATCCAAGTGATAATGCAATTAGGCTATTTTTGTCGTTGTGGTTGTTATACACTTAACGTTAAATAAGTTGGAATTAAATAACCGAACATGTTGGCTATAGCTGGGTTGCTGTTTGTATCAACGTCACGATACGGAACTACATACACAAATGCGCAAAGTATAAATGGCTGTTCTGTTTAGAATGTTGAAGTTAACTTCTTTACTAAATAGACAAAGATGACAAGATCGGCGATAAATTACAAACAAAAAATTGGTAACTTTCTGAAAAGGCAGTTACATTATTAAAACCCAAACGTAACATAAGGTATCGTTTTATTATTTTGTACTAATTATTATTGCCGTCGTAATCTATATAGAATCAAATCGTCATCGTTAGTTTATGGTGTTTTCTATACGATGCAGGAAATCTATTGAATTAGGAAAACTTATTATATATATAATTACCGTAATGTTATCACATATGCGGAAAGTCGCTGGGTGAGTGTCCTGTAACAAAAGAAAAATACTGTTTTATAATTCATTGATTTAGGGTTTGAATCCAAATTTGTCCGGTAAATTGATATTGTAGGATAGACACTCTTCTACGATGGCCGAAATAGTAGAATTTTTTGAAGTGCAATGCCAAATTTCTCTTGCCAAAATATAATTTTAGTTTTGGAATTCTGCTGAAAATTGACAAAAATTATGCATTCTTACGTATTTATTCCTAATGTACATATATTATTTAAAAAAAAATTCGTTCATGTTTTAAAATACAACAAAATTCACAATTTTTCTTACATATCATTAAAATAAATGTTAGTTACCTTATGTGTGCTCAACTCGTCAAAAAATCTATCAACATCTCTCATTTTGGAAGATGTAAGTTTTCGTGATCTTGACTGATGACAGGATGCCTCACAAATTTGAAGAAAACAACAGTGATAGACAATCACAGTGATAATTATTGCAGAACGAAAGAAATCTTGCATGCCTAAATATAATAAATAAAATTTCAATCTACAGTTGCAAAACCGCATGGTTCACACGCATCGTCTTTCGCCATGTGACATGTTCATAAGAGAGCACGTCAATCACATAGCCAAAGGCGTAATGTAATAAATTGTGTAGTAAATGTCGAAGCGGGAAAATTCTAGTCACTCGGAACATATCTGCACCAGACTAAAAGTAGATGCTAGTACAAATGAATTTTCTGAGTGGAGGTGTACAAACACAGTAGAAATAAATTGACGCTAGCTAATGCATAAACAACATAACACGGCATGAAAAACTATATAAATGACAGGGGTACTTCATTACCATACCTCATCCCAAAATAGTACATTTGCCTCACTAAGACAAATATTAGATTTTTCAAAGTAATGAGAACCGAATTTCCATTTGGCAAGTTCGTATGTTTTAATCAAAAAAACTTTATATGCAACAGCGTCGACATTTATACATGTCATCGTGAATACCTGTACATTTATGACACTTTTTGAGTAGAATTATTACGCAAGTTCGTCAATAATTCAAAAAAGTCATTTTTATTTTTAGAACTTATCCACTAATTGCACATACCCTTCCGTTATTTATCGTTCTTTCGTTTAGTCATACTAAAAAATAAGTCTCGTATGTATACAAATAACTGCAATATATTAGTGATCAATTGTAATTAGATTTCTCCTAAACTGCTCATGCCTATTATTTCAAGAAATCTGAATGCACAGTTTTCTGCGGCTGATCTACGTCAAAGTGCGTATCTGTCCTACGTACCTTATCATACGTACAAATTTTCAAAATTACCCTTACAAAAATATCCAATCTGGAAAAGTATATTCAACCACAATGATGTGTATATTCCACAATCACGTGTTGAGAACCATAATTCTTACGAACTCATTCAATTGCGCTAAGAGTATAAACGTGAAACGATGCCTGATCTTCCTTAACATACCACACTGTATCTATTATAATCTACTTTCTCTCGTATACCCTTTACCCAACTTACTTTTAATAAAACGCACGCGAGAAAAAGTTAGTCTTACTTAATATAGCGGACGGAGATTGCAGACACTGCAATTCAAAGTATTGGAATTTCTGTCATCACGTCGGTAAATTAGTTGCGACAACAGTATTGTAACATAAGTAACATAAATTTTACTACATATTTAACACATATTCAAATCTTTGTGGTCTGGATTTCAAAAGAAAATTTTAAATACTCGTAACACCCCAAAATTTACATCCAATCGGCATTTGCTTCATCGGCGACAATACATATTACATAACAGTATATATTACTTCCGTAATGACTGCGCAGACAACAATTGCGGTCTATAACACTGCGTGTAAAACCGAAAATGCCACAAACTAAATATGAGCCAATATATATATATACGAAGGTTCAAAAATAGCCCGAAGTCATTCTATTTTTTCCTAGAGTCCGCATTACCGCATAAATTTGGTGTCTATGTTTAAATCTATATATCATTGAAAATAAAACTTAAGCAATATCTATATCACAGTTGATAAAAATGCTATGCAGCAATTATCATAATTTTACCTCCCAACTTGACAATAATCACCATTTGAGATGATCGTTTGAAAGATGTTCAATGCGAGTAATTAGCCGATTTTTTTCAGATATAAATATGTGATTTACCGCAAACGACTAGCCATTGAATGCATCGACACGGTGGAATTTGAAGACAGAAATTCCAGCACGAACGTTATAAACGTAGTTTGTCTTTGTGTTTATTGTTATTTTTATTGACAAAAAATGAAAAATATTAATATCGGAGTTTATTGGTTTCCGATGTTTTCAATGTAATTTTTCATCTATTGGGATTTTTTGCAAAAAGACATTATAATGTTATTGCAGAATCCATGGCTTCAAATAAATTTACAGGTTTGTGATGTCTTCGGGTTGGGACCTCGTTTAGTCTCTAAAATGAACTGGCTAACCAACTATAAATCACGCTATGCCATAAATTTCAATGTGTGTTATAAAATGGATATATCGTTAATATGATGTTGATTTTCTTATTAAACGGTACCAGCGTATTTCGGAAGAACAATGTGCCGGAAACAAAACAGCAATATTCATAGAAACAATTACGAAACAAGAATTTATTAATGGAAACAATCTACAGAAGGCAATGGTGCCCCACATATTATGCTCGCTTTATCTGTGGTTCTTGCATGACAAATAAAAAGTTTTGAATGAAATGAAAGGTGGGAGACAAGAGCTAGTTTTTCAGAATTTCAAACGTTTCATGCGGAACTATTTTTTATTTGAGTTTGAAGCATTGCAAAATTGAAATAATCCTGAAATTTGCAAAATGAGCCCCTTCGGCGGGCCGAAAATGATTTTTGACATCGTGATCAGCGCCATTTTGTATCATGGCACTAGCACGTGTCCCGTGGCACACATATGCACAGTACAAAAAGAAATAGTGCACATTCTCTTTCTGTAGCACAGCTACAAGGCATTGTCTTACATTCTAACCAACAATGCAAAAACAAGTCAGATTTCAAAATATTTTGAAATAATTGGTTAATATTATCAATGTATATTTGCCCGCGGGACGATTCTATTAAAAATAAATTGCGTGATTATCTAAATAAACATTACGATTAGAATGTGTAAATGCATAGTTTTGAGCTAAACATTGCTTTTATCTCACGTATATTTATTTATTATGTTCATTTTAAATTTTATTCATCGCCACGTGTCCTGAGACAACCTTAATATATTATCTGATTTCATAGTGAAATCAGACATTTCATCGTTCTGACAATAAACAATTTTGTCTGAAAAAATTGAAATATCATAAATCATAGTTGCGTGGGCCGACTGTATTTTCCATTTGAGTAGTTTTCAGTTCCCAAACCAAAATTTCAACAATTTATTTTAGGCAAGAATGAGTCAGTATAATAACTTCAAAAACAAAAATGCACCAGGTGCTTATTTTTTATATGTTTTAGTCATTATCCACAAAGTTTCAGGTCAAAAATGATATCAGCGTTTAATTGATTAAAATTATAAACATTTAGTTTGGGTCAGAGTTTATTATTATTCTGTTGTCGGTCTAGTTACTCTAGTATGATTACCATGCCACATAATGCCGTTCGTTCGACGATAATGCATTGGAGTAAATGCTGCAACTTGGCACGATTGCTTGGTGGCATTGATTCATGCTACTTGATATTGCATGTTCGAATAATCAATATTTACTGTAGGCATTCGTGATATAGATGTAGAGATATATCGTTTCAACATGCAGGTATCTGGTGCGAATAATTCGCTAAGTAAGTCCTGTCATGTCTTTAGTATATTCCTCACAGAAAACGACTCAAAAATTAACCTACTACGTCTGGGAAACACATGCTTTCCGATTGCATTACACTCATCAAAGAATTTTCCACTCTAGTTCTAAACCGCTCATGGATTAGTTTTAAAAGTGTTTTAGTTCGAAGTAGTCACAACATGGTGGCTCTCTATTGGTTTTTAAATACCTTTCCAACTTGGTACGAACTGAAGAAATTGGATTTAATTGAGCTGATGTTTTCAACACCACGTTGAAGAACCTTTAGAACACGTATTCAATATTGACGAGCAAATGAAGTTAATATGCCCAGTCCCGATTTGAATGATCTTCTTCGTAAAGGGTAATGGGGCCATATTAAATAGCAGATTTGGTTTTGGGATTTGGCTGCCACACAATAGCACAATTTTGCCAAGAATTTGCTAATTGCATCATCTGCCAGGAATTTGCTAATTGCACCATCTGTTAAAGAGATAATTTGAACATTTCTAACCCTGGGTACGGCAAAAAAGTTAACAACATTTTTGCCCGTCATGCTAAAAAATATTTTTTTTTCAAAAAAAATTTAAGCATAATACGTGAAATAACTCACCTGCAATTTAATTTGTATCAACTGCTTTGCAGACAAATTGAATGCACCTTTCCGTATTAAAATAAGTCCTTCTAAGTCAAGTATAAAAGTTGGTCGACCAGGGTGCAGTTGAATGTGAAACCAAGTGAGATCGATACTTGTAACAAGTGACGTTGTAGTAAAATGCCGACTACTATTTATACGATTGTGTCCTTATGGCGTTGGCGGAAAAGAATGAAACGTAAGAAAAAATATTATTTGTTAAAATTACTCTTCAATACTATTACACAATAAGAGTTGAATCAATGCGTCATTTGGCGCCAAAATCGAAAATACAATCGATAGTTACTCCTAACCTCCAAGCAATGCGCTGCGGTAAATACCCTTTCTCATTACTAGGGGAAAATAGGTCAACAGTGACTGATAGACAGTTGCAAAGCGTGCTTTCTAGTATCTTAATCGAAGACGATTCTGTATTATTTTACGTTAGTAGGACCGTGAAGCCATTTGCAAGTGCATCACTAAATTCATTGACAGCACAAAATATTCAAATCGTTACGCTGAATTTGCATCACCGCTATATCTCTACATCCCGATACCAAAATCAAATATCAACAATTTAGGCCAAGGAACAAACTATCTTACCAGCGATCGCTAAAGATGGCGTACTGTCGTCCCGATTTTAAATATAACAAAGAAAGCTCGTTATTTAACGATTATTTTTACCCAAAAGCACGTTGATTCAATAAATTCCCGTTATTGGTTAAATTCCTCTTTTTGTCAAATATCCCCCTCGAATAAACTAGTCATACGTAAAGGTCATGAAACAATACTATAATACAAACTTTCGATTTCGAATTTTTTTTTACAAAAGGACAAAATCCACCGTGTAACTAATGTTAAGGGGGAGAAAGTTGTATTCTACATTCAAATTCACATATGTTTCGTACTGTCAACTTATTTGAATCGTTTTGGTGTTAGTCACCATCTATACCTTTTTATTTCAATTTGCGTAATTTTCCCTGAAAAAATACTAAGATCTACTTGACCGGCGATCGCGGTTGGGCACACGATTATTTCCAAACTAACGTTTAATCTGGCCGTAGAAAGGTAATAATTTACGTCAAATGTAGAATGTACGTCAGAATCGTGACATCAAAAACGTACGTTTGGCAAAGATGCAAGGAAAGAATTAGCTCCATAGGAATGACCTTTCGCATTTTAAAAACTAGTAATAACTGTTTTCTCCGCTTTTGCTTTAAATTTAAAGTTATGAGAGTAAAGTTCAAATTTTTTTTATAAATGCTGTCATGAGTTTACATCTTGCTGTCACGCATGCAGGCGTTGGCGAGGGCACGAGTGTTTGTACACAACACATATCCCCGGGTGATGCACGAAATTAAATTAATTAATCAAACTCTCAGTCCAGTCTTGTATTATGACTGGTTTGAACTGGCTCAAATGGTTTAGAAAATAGGTGAAAAAACAAATTTGAAATAAGTATTACAGATTTCGAATCAAAAATTGTATTGGATATTGATTGCCACATTTGAGTATTTTTGTTAATTATTATGATCCAAAATAATTTATGTACGCCCGACGAGAACAACTTCGGAATAAAAATTGTTTTTCAATGCAACAAAATTTTCTGCATATCCGTAACTAATATGCGAGGGTACTGTATATAGTCATATCTCCGTTATCACCTAAAATCTACATTAAAGTACTGAAAAGCTTGAAAAATATGTGTCGTACTTTCTTAATTAATAATTATAAATTCATTTATTTATATTTATTCGTTTATAATTAAACGCTGTCATGTAGAGCGTCTCTACGATTGCCTAATATTAGTTTAACCCTACTAAACCCTTGTTGAAAAAAAAAGTTTAAATGATAAGTATCAATATTGTGTTACAGCCCACCCACCACACAATCCAAAATGAAAGTTATTTATCAAAAGGAAATTGCAGTTCGGAACAAGGTTAGAAAACCAAATGTGAATCATTCATTTATGTAGGCGTTAAGGGTTCGTTTATGTGGGTAATTGACAATAGAAACACATTACCATTGTACTGTATATAATATATACATAGGATCAAAGACACTTCCACAAGTAACTTCGCTTTGGCCAATAGTAACTGATGTCTCAAATGTAAACTTAACTAA